AGCTTATAACAACGATGTACCAAAATTAAGTTGCTTTTGAGCTTCAAAACTACTCCAGAATGTGGGCACACACTTTATTGTCCTATATCCTTTGTTTAATGACTATGTATGGCACCTTTTTTCAGGTGAGGGAACACAGTATAAATGACAGTACACAGGATGACAGTATACAGGACTCTTTTAGCATTAGCCTTATTTATACCATCTATCCTTCCCATAAAAAAATAGTGGAAAAATACAAGACAATAAATCCACAGTCCTCACAGATAAAGCCTAAATAGGTACATTTATTCAGAAAAATACATTTTATTTTTAAGGCTCATATCTATTTTGAGATTTACAAGAAATATGATTTTACCCTTATTTTAAATGACACAAATATTCACATAGGAAGTTAGAGCATGATACAAAAGAAAGAAAAAAAAACTTCTTCCACTTTCTGACCCTTTGATTGGATGTCAGTGAGTGAGAAAAGGCAGAGGCTGGGGAGGTGTACATGAAGGTGCCTTTTGACCCTTGCTCAAGCTTCCTAATGCTGACAAGGCAGAGGATTGCCACCCAACCACTATCAGTCTTTAATGACTGATGTGTGATCTATACTCACTCAAACTGATCCACAACACAGAAAAGATTAAAAATAGCTTAAAATACTTCTCATGCTTCAGGTGTACATGAGGTGTGACTATAAGTGATGGAAGAGAGTGTGGAAAACCCAGGTCTGCAGATTTCACAGTTTCTCACCCACCTGCGTTCCATCTACTTCTCAAGAGTTATGGCAGATTGAAAAGTCCTGCCTTCTTTCCTCACCTACTGTCCTTCCTGGGAAATTTAGAACAAATAAGAGGAAAGGAGCAGTTTTCCCTTTCTTCCTTGAACCTAAGCCAGCTTCTTAGTTTCACTTTTTCGATATCTTCCAGGTTCCACTCTATTTTTAGGAGTAGGAGTCTTGCTTAACTCAAATGAGAGAATAGAGAAAGGGAAATAAAGAGGAGAGAGAGAGCACTGACCTTAAAAGAAACAGGGAAAAGGGCAAATGCATGAGCAGAAGAGGAAGAAGAACAGAAGAATGAACAAGGTAGAGCGATCCCTGCTCTTGAACCAATGGGACCCTGGGCTTTTCAATGGCTCAGGCAAGAAGTCTGCGACATGGAGACCCCCCAAAGGTGTAAAATGCCTCATTGGCATCCCACACCCAAAAATCTCAAAAAAAGAGGGAAGGAAGGAAGGAAAGAAGGAAGAAAAGAAGGAAAGGGGGGAGGGAGGGAAGGATGGAGGGAATATGCAAGTGTCCCTAGGTGTATGTATCTTATGTATCTTTACTCTTCTTATCAAATACTCCACATCTCAATTTTGTCAAATCTGAAGCTATGCAGAGGAGAAGGGAGGAAGTAGCTGATCCTTTTTAAAAAAATTTTTGAGTCAGAGTCTCTCTGTCACCCAGGCTGGAGGGCAGTGGCACACTCCTGGCTACTGCAGACTTGACCTTCTGGTCCCAGATGATCCTTCTGCCTCAGCCTTCAAAGTAGCTGGAACCACAGGCATGTGCCACCATGACCGGCTAATTTTTTGAGTTATTGTAGAGATGAGGCCTTGCCAAGTTGCCTAGGCTGGTCTTGAACCCACGGACTCAGGCAATCCTCTCACCTCGGCCTCCCCAAGTGCTGAGATTATAGGTGTGAGCCACTGCGCCCGGCCTAGCTGATCCTTTTACAGTGTGCCCACATATGAAGTATTGGTCTGGCTCCTATTAATAACTTACTCCTATTTTTATCAGATCTCACTTTTTGTTATTTCTACAGTTTTCCATGTGCTTCACATCACTATAGGTTTTGGTTTTTATCAACAACCCTCTCTAGGGGAAAAAAGAGCATGATGGGCTGTTGAGCTAATGACACCATTTATAAAGCCTGTTTGGTGAAGGAATGAAAGAAAATCTAGGCATATAGTTAAAATAGTTATAATTCTTTTACACTCTGGTACATTCAGCTTAATGTGGTAGGTTACTATATACTAAAGGAACAATGTTAAGTTGAGCAGGCAGTTCTAAAGTTGGTGCCAACTTCTCTTTTTGTCTTCATTATCCATGTGTAAATAATACCAATGTATTTATGGGGGATGACAGTTTTCAGGGCAACTTGACTCATTGTATCATTGGCTCTACAGAGAAGTTCTCTGAGGTAAGAAAGGCAGCATGATTAGCCAACATTTAGAGAAGAAGAACAACAGAAATAACTTGATGAAGTGAAATCATGTATTGCTTGGAGATTCAGACATCTGAGTTTGTCACAGACAAGACTTTTGTGACTCTGAATAAGCTGTGTAAAACAAATAATCTCCTTGTTCACTTTTTCATTTATAAAAACAGGAAAAAAATACTACCTACCTTGAATGCTATAAGTTTAAAGAAAAATAGTTATTTCATAATAACTTTCTAGTTCTTAAAAATCCTTCTGAAAGAAGAAGTAGGTGGATAAAGGTCCAAAATTGAGAACGTCTGTTCCCTGTTCAGATGTTTGTCCCCTCCAACCAGCTTACCCTATCTAGATAAGTGGTGCTCACATCCAAGTCGATTACTAATTTTTCTCTAAAATAGTTGCAGCCTGAATGTCTTAAGATGGCTTGGTCTCCACAAAGATGGTGATTCGGAATAAGACACACTCTCTGCTAGAGGGCTCCTCCTCTGTGGTTGGGGAGATAGGCAAGTAAGCAAATCATTGCTAATAATTACTGCAAAAGCCCTAACACCAAACCACCCTCTGTATGAGTCACCTTGACCATGTCAGTACCATCTTATTACCATCTTCTTGTGACCAAGTATCTATTATGTGAGCTTACCACCTCACTGTTGACCATCCACTATAGTTCTGAGAAAAACTGAAAATTTACCCCAAAGTGGATTTTCCTTAACTTTAATTCACTTGAACAGAAAAGTTTTTCCTAACATTTATTTTAGAATAAATGTCTAATATTGTTCTTTAGATTAAAAAGTTTTTTTTTGTTTGTTTTTTGAGTTGGAGTCTCACTCTGTCGCCCAGACTGGAGTGCAGTGGCCGCTCCCGGCCACCGCAGCCTTGACCTGCTGGGCTCTGGCGATCCTTCCGCCTCAGCCTCCCAAGCAGCCGGAATTACAGGCAAGGGCTACCACGCCAGGCTGATTTTTTGATTTATTGTAGATATGAGGTCTCGCTGCCCACGTGGGTCTCGAACCCGCAAGTTCAGGCAATCCACTCACCTCAGCCTCCCAAAGGCGTGGGATTACAGGCTGAGCCACCGAGCCCGGCTTAGATTAAAAAGTTAATATGATTACAGAACATCCTCACACAGTTTTCAACTATGGTTTATCAGAACACAAGGAAATGATCTACACATGAATGCCTCATATCATCAGTCTACAAAAGCCAGCAATAATTCAAAAATGGGCCAAAATAGCTTGATATAAACCATCTTAATTCTCACAACCTGACACTGTTGGTTATTTAATAAAGTCAGTTTAGCAGAAACATGCATTTGTTTCTTATTTGTCAAGGTAGGATCAAGGTAATTTCTTTGAATTAGAGTCTGTCTACTGGAGTTCCCTTTCTAACAAAGAATGTGCTCAAATGACACCCATGATGCTTATTTGTGATTTTCCTTTCAGATTTTTCTTTTCATATTCGTCTTATTTTCCGTTGAGCAGATAGAAAACTTAGAACACTTGTAAATCAATCGAGTATAGACAAGTTTTAACAAAACGTACAACTGACTTTTGGTAAGGTCACTCAATGATGGGAGTAGACAAATGCAGCCTGTTAGTTACAAGTATTCAGCATTCCATAGGCATCAGTTAATAGGTACTTCCAAAGAAAATTAAGAGCATTGGTCAATCAAAAAGTAAGTTAAATGGAGACCAGTTAATAAGGTTTCTATACTGAATGCCCTGTGTCAGTTGATAATCCCAGGATGTCTCTTTAAAAATATTGCGAATGTAAAATTAATAATACTTATCTTTCCTCTATCAAACATCAATGTATCAAGCAAAACCAAGCTGAATTCTCTGAGGAAGATTTAATCACTAATATTTTGCATCGTTGCTTGTAGTGAGATATTCATGTTTAAGATATCAGAGCATAGTGCACGTGTACTTGCTCAGTGGAGGTATATATTTCTCCAGAGATAGGATGCAGGTTTGCTTTTGGGCAGGACTAAACAGTTTCTCAAAAAACTAAAAGAAAAAAGCAGTTATTTAAATATGCCTATGTACATTGGAAAGCACTAAAACATGGTCCCAGAATTCTGAGCCACAAAGCACCAAAACAGATGTTTTTATTCTGAGAAAGATGGTTAAGAGTATGTATGCTTCCTTTTGACCCCACTTAACTTTTTGCTTGATCCCTTTAGAGTCTGGAATGTCTGCTTCTGAATAGAAAGAACTTCATTCTAAAGATGGATGGTCCTACCAGGATACAGCTCAAATATGTTTAGCTCAAGCATAGTATAATTCTTGTCCAAACCGTAGAAAATCTCTCTCCACCATATTATCAGTTACACTTTCATGCTACCAAACATTTGGAATATATTTGCCATCTGAAAGATAGTATACAGTCTAACATTGGACTTGAAATCTTAGTCATACCTATACAGTATATATACAAATTTATCTGCATGTGACACACGTTGATCAGCTTAACTTTTAGCAATGGGTGTGGGATCTGCTCTAATTTCCAAAGAAAATTAAGAGCATTGGTCAATCAAAAAGTAAGTTAAATGGAGACCAGCTAATAAGGTTTCTATACTGAATGCCCTGTGTCTGTTGATAATCCCAGGATGTCTCTTTAAAAATATTGAGAATGTACAATTAATAATACTTACCTTTCCTCTATCAAATATCAATGTATCAAGCAAATAGAATTCTTCCATTTATCATCTTGGGTCTTTTGTTTGTAGAGTTTACATCTTCTTTTTAAAAATTATACACGGATCATGTGATTAATGCTTCTTGTGCATTTCTTTTGTTTCTGCAGGAGGGATTTTTGAAACCATGGAAAATGAACCTGTTAATGTTGAAGAATTAGCTTTCAAGTTTGCCGTCACCAGCATTAACAGAAACCGAACCCTGATGCCTAATACCACATTAACCTATGACATCCAGAGAATTAACCTTTTTGATAGTTTTGAAGCCTCACGGAGAGGTAACCATTTTCCCACTTTTAAAAGCTTCTTTGGGTGATATGTCTGCACTATAGGTCACCTTCTTTTCACTACCTGCCCTTTTTCAAAGTGGACATCTTTGTGCAAATGGGTCGCGAGAAATCTCGGTCTTCGATGTCACTGATCAATGCAATCTGAACTAACCTAATGGATGTTGCCGAGCACTGTTTTCTGGGCCTTTCTGATTAGCTTACCCTTCAGTGCCCTCCACTCTATGATTAACTGGTTCAGCTGTGAATGGAAAATGTCAAGCTTGATCTGTTTTTCCTTCCTGCAGCTAAGATACCACCATGAAATTGTACAGTGCAGTCAAATAAAGCATTGTGGAAGGTCACATCCACTGAGCATGTGGAAATGCCCAAAACACACATAACTCACACACGGAATCTTAACAGGTTGTAAACTACTGAGTTTACCTAGTATCTTCTCAACTTGTTTTTACTCCTTTCCACAAAAATCAGAGAAATATGAAGACTAAATGTGTGACAGGAATGTCTGCATTTGATTCCCTTTTTCTTCTGAACCAGAAGACAAGTGCCTAAAAAGTAATCGAATTTATGTGTAGGCTGCAAGGTTTCTTTCAAAGAAAGATTCATTTGGAATTGTGAGGCTTGTTTAGACATCTCCCAGACACTTCTAGGACAACTCTTTGAAGTAAGGGCACATTCCATGTACTTGAAGGTTGGCCTCTAACAAGAGCACTATCTAGTCACCAAATAAAGGCGTTTGTGTGGAAACAGAGGCTATCACCCCAGAACAGGAGGAATTCTCTGCCTCATAGAAGAATTCCTTGTCCACTAAAAACACACAAACAAATAGAAGCACCAGGTTCATGCTGGCTGCCATATAATTAAATACTGTTTGTTTCCACATAGAATTAACCTACTTTAATGATAGGATTTGTCCGCCTAATGTACTCTTCTGTAAGAAGTCTGGTGTTCTTTACAAACAAAATAAAACACTTCTTTATTAGGAGCACAGATTAAAAATGAATAACATAATAATCTCTGTCTCTGGCATGACCTTAGTATAAGGATACTATATAAGTCAGAGTGGTCTGTGAAAAAAATTTTTTTAAAACCTTATATTTATATAGCATTTAAAGTTTATAAGGCATCTTCATGTAAATTATTTCCATAATATGGAGATAGGTCTCTCACTTCTCTCTCTCTCTTCCTCTCCCTCTCTCTTTCTCTCTCCCCCTCTCTTCCTCTCTCTGTCTCTTTCACTTTCACACACACACACACACACACACACACACACACACACACACACACACACACTCCTAATACCTTGCTGAGCAAACACTTGTAGAAAACCAACTACATTTAGCAATGAAACTCCAACCCACATAAAAATTGAAAGCTTTCTTGCAATCTGAAATACCTGCAGTACTTGTAAATTAAACATCCCCAAAGCTTTTGTTTTGTTTTGTTTTTTGGAGTTGGAGTCTCACTCTGTCGCCCAGACTGGAATGCAGTGGCACCTTCCGGCCACTGCAGCCTCGACCTGCTGGGCTCTGACGATCCTTTCGCCTCAGCCTTCCAAGTGCCGGGACTACAGGTCCTGCTATCATGCCTGGCTAATTTTTGATTTATTGTAGAGACAAGGTCTCGCCAAGTTGTCCGGGTGGGTCTCGAACCCGTGGGCTCAGGCAATCCATTCGCCTCAGTCTCTCAAAGTGCTGGGATTACAGGCTGAGCCACCAAGCTCGACCCCCCAAAGCTTCTTAAAACTGGTCATATGCTGGCAAACAGAATCCAACAAGATTGATTTTCTGTCAAGTAATATTAGCATCCCAGAACTAAATATTAGCAAGAATCTCAATCTATTGTTTGTGCTGGATAGACCAGTTCATACATTCTCATGTTCTCATTTTATCTGGCTAGCTAGTGAAGACATATCTAGAAAATAAGCTTCTGAAGATAAGGACAATTTACACTTACAGTACTTAATGCAGAAAGCTATACATCTTCATAGTTCATGTAGTAATTCAGTACCTGAGAGCACAGTATCAGAAAGTTTTCCTTGTAAATAACTTTAAACATTTGTTGTCCCTTAGATAGCTGCAATATGACTCTCAAACTTTTATCAATTATTCTCTCTGAATCAAATCAGATTCTTTAGAGTCATATGGTTTTTCTAATTATTTTTATTTGTAGAATGACATTATTATAAAAACTAACATAATCCCATGTATGAATTTAACTATTATTTATTCTGACATTCAATTATCTCTTGAAAATTCTAAGTTTTGTTGAAATAGAATTAAAATATAAATTTGCAAATGTGTTTAAACTTATATTTAATGCTTATCAGCATAAAATTAATAGGCAATATTTTACATGATTTTAGAGGACAAACTGCCCTAACTTCCCTGGAATAGAATTTGGTTAATACCATATGTATCAAATAACTTTAAAATATCAATACCCTTTAATTATAGCTGGTAACTCAACTTTTGGACATCTACTTAAGAAAGTAACCTAAGATGCATAGAAAAATATAAAAACTAAGATAAGTATGATAATGTAACTTAAAATAGCCAAAGAACAGAAACAATTTAAAGGTTTAATGTTATAGAAATGGTTAAATAGATGATGACACATCCAGGAAATGGTCTATTCTACAGATACTAAAAATATACTTTTGAAGAATTTGTAATGATTGGGGAAAAAAGCATGCTGTAGTGTCAAATTGAGAAAACAATGTGTCAAACCATATTTATATAATGATTCTAATTCCCAAAATATTAATAAATATTATTTAAAGATGATAGGATTGATCATAGGGCCTTTTTTTTCTTTCCTACATTTTAAATAGTAGGATAGAAAAAATGAATATTTTTTCTCAATAAATATTTATACTCTTATGATGAGAAAAATTAATTTGTTATAAATGAATTTTTAAATACATATCTACTCAATCTTATTAGCCTATTTTTGGCTGATACTAGGGTAGAAAGAGGCCTGACCTTGGGCTGGAGTACCTGGGCTGTGATTTAGCTCTGCTGCTGTCTAATGGCCATGATTCTCTCCATTGTCTATGAAATGAGTAAGTTGGGTGAAATGTCTTCTAAAATTCCCTTAAGTTACGCTAGTCCATTATTCTGTAATTAATTAGGGATCATCACTGTTTATGAATATTCCTTAGCGGTATTTCAATAACCTGGAACTTCTTTCTAAGGTTTTTTTGTTTTGTTTTGTTTTGTTTGTTTTGGTTTTTTTGAGTTAGAGTCTTACTGTGTCCCCCAGACTGGAGTGCAGTGGCATGCTCCTGGCCACCTCAACCTTGACCTGCTGGGCTCCGGCGATCCTTCCGCCTCAGCCTTCCAAGTAGCTGGAACTGCAGGCGCGCGCTACCACGCCTGGCTGATTTTTTGATTTTATTGTAGAGATGAGGTCTCATCAAGTTGCCCAGGTGGGTCTCAAACCCGTGGGCTCAGGCAATCCACTCACCTCAGCCTCCCAAAGCGCTGGAATTACAGGCTGAGCCACCAAGCCCAGCTCTTGCTAAGTTTTGAAAAGACAAAAGCTAAAGCACTTTGTAGTCACCAGAGAGTTTTTCTTCTGAAGACTGTAACCACATTAATATCTTTATCCCCACCCTGTTGTGTAATAGAACTTAATTTATATGACTTTCATTTGACAAATGGCTTGTTGGTAGCTAAAGTGCTCCTGGGTATCAGGGCAACACCATACCAAGGAAGGGATTTAGATTCCATCTGATTAAAGGTAATGAAATGAGACCAGTCACTCCTTTTTATTTGCAAGGAGTTGACCCAGTGATGAATTGCTAATCAGTTCTACGATTACATCTGTCTGTAACTAAGTATCTCAAGAATGTTGCAAGATAGACCAAGCATATTTCCTCAACATACAGATGGAGGTTGTCAAAGATTAATCAATAATTAAATTAAAAATAAGAATGATGAAAGAAAAGAATAAATTAATAGAATTCTCTTTTTCTCTTCCCTTTCCCTGCCCTCTCTCTCCATCCCCTCCTTGTCCTTGCACATCAGCATGTGACCAGCTGGCTCTTGGTGTGGCTGCTCTCTTTGGCCCCTCCCATAGCTCCTCCGTCAGTGCTGTGCAGTCTATCTGCAATGCTCTGGAAGTTCCACACATACAGACTCGCTGGAAGCACCCATCAGTGGACAACAAAGACTTGTTTTACATCAACCTTTACCCAGATTACACAGCTATCAGCAGAGCGATCCTGGATCTGGTCCTCTATTACAACTGGAAAACTGTGACTGTGGTATATGAAGACAGCACAGGTATGAGACACACAAGCCCTCACCTGGCCATGTCTGTTCTGAACAAAGGGAACCAATAGGCATTAAACTCATCAGGTGGAGTGCTGGAAATGCTTTCTTATATAAAACTGAGTATTCTAAAGCAATTTAGGAATGCTGTGGGTATCTAACTTTGCTTATTGTGGTTTATTGATCCTTTTTGATGATCCTTTCATCAGTAAACTTAGGGGTAGTATATTCCGTTTATACTCTGTTACCTGTCACAGGCCTGTCATAGAGGAAATAATTCTATGTGGTAGGAATAATACTACTGACCATCTGGATGTTTTCTTCAAGAATGAAATTAGCGCTTTCTTTGATCTACACATTTGACAGCAGGACTAACAAAATTATCAATGAAAATTAAATTAGTAAAGTTAAACATGGTCAAACTTTTTAATACTATTTCATTTTTCACTGCCCCACTCACCAAGCCCTGGCACTTATTATTCTCCAAAGGATGAATAGTGAACCTACTCTACTTGGCATTAAATTCTGGTTTTATTTAAAACTATCAGATAAAAGTGACAAGATAGTCCCTATGCCCCATCTCATTTTAGAAAGAAGTGAAGGTAGTAGGTGATTGGGTGAACAATTTATAAATAGTATATTCAAAACAGTTCTACTGGGAAAGATAAGCCACAGGCAGTCATATTCTTCAAGCTTCGCCTGCTTGCTGTGAAAGAAGAAAACATTATTAAATGAACACCACACGCATGTGTAAAGAGCCTTGAGGTAGAATATTGTATTGTAAATTTAAGTGTAGTTAGATCTTGCATGTTGCCTACTTTTGTTAAATAGAAAATTTCATAATCTAATAAAATCATACCATTTATTATTATGTTGTACACTCCATAGTATTATCTTCTTTCACTATTTCTACTATCTCCAGCAAAGCAGGACCACATAAAAGGAAAACAAGTCAATAAACACTATTGAAACTTCTGGATTTATTTTTTAAAAGAGTTCAACTAGAAATGTGGGCTTTGTAGATTTCACATTATATTTAGTCAAAATGTAATCAACAAGTAAATGACAGAAAAGTTGGTATTGTAACCACCCTCTGATGTCAAGTGAGCCACACATATGTGACAGTCATTGTGCAAGGAAAAAAAAAACAAAACCCTATCATTTCTAGAATCTTTTACCAGAAACTGAAATGTTCTTTTCATCCCGGTTAAGTTTACTTGAGCTCAGTGGCTCAATAAATACTTGCTGAAATTGAAAATCCAAAATGATTTTGTATGTTGGCCATTAAGTTAGAGATGATTCATGTTAAAATGATTTTTGCCCACAAAGACATTAAAAATGTAAATGAATAATCAATTGAGTCATTAAATTGGAACCTAGAGTAAACAGGTCAAGCGAGATCTATAAAAGTAGATATCTTGTGACTCCAAGTGGGATTATTACTGCTTGACTCAGGGTTCTTGGTTGCAGTAATTATCACACCATAAAAAGGAGGAAACTTAATAAACCTGAAGGAAAAGAAAGGACTTAGGTGTGCTCAGCACCTGCCCCCACACCAGAATTAAGTACCCATAGTACCCATTAAAGAGAACTTTATTGGGATTTGTTTAGGAGTTTGTTAAATAGTCTGAAGCCAGCACAGATGTCGTGGGACCAAATGGCCCATTACTCCCATTGAAGTCAATGGGAGCAGTGTGCATGTCTCTAAGGACAAAATTCAGTTCACTAAATACTAGCAAGCAGAATTCTGTCCTCCAGAAGTTAAAATGTAGGAAGACTCTAGAGAACTCTTAGGAGGAGCAAAGTTTCATCTCGCCTCATCTCTTTTTTCTCTCTTTCCTGGATATTCTTCCCATTAGTCACTTGCTTGTCTCTGTTTCCCACATTCAGAGGTGACCCCAGGCAACGAGAAATTGCAGTTCATTGGCTATCCCTTCCACTTCATTAGACTCCTGGTGGAAACCTGGCTTCCCTCCCTTCACACATATCAAAAAGAGCTGAGAAACAGCACCAAATGCAGTATGGAGTATATCCAGCAGTTTCTGCTTTCTAAAGGCCAATCTCAGTGAAATGTAACCACAGTCATTTCTGGAGAATAGAGATCGGCAAGCATTTTCTGCTAAGAGCCAAATGCTTAGGCTTTGCAACCATGTGGTCTTGGTCACAATGATTTCCCTTTGCAAGAAGTAGCAAGAAAGTGGCCATAGACAACGTTAGGTCAGTGTGCTGGTGGACTAGATAAGATGCAAAGAATTGCACAGAAATTAGATCGGGAAAAATAGTTTACTTAAAAAGTAAATTAAAAAGAGTGGATTAACTTCTCAAGGGAGAGAAGGGGCCAGATGCTTGAAGGAAACATGGTGGGGAATGCTGGAGGTTGAATGCTTTTTAAACTTCCTTTTGGTGGGGCAAATTACCCCAGTGGTGGGGTGGTAGTCTGTGTCACCTAGGTCATAAAAAGCTGATCACAATAGATTAGATCAGCCAGACCCTTTATGGCAGGAAGACAAATACTATAACTAAAAGGTTAATTAGTACAAAGCATGCTTAGGGGGTTGCAAGACAATTATCAGTACCACCTCTGGGACACCAGTTTTGTTTCTTATTAATGTTTGGGTTAAAATAAGCTGCTGAAAATGCATGACAAAGCTAAGCAATGTTAAAATGGCTGCCACTTTGACGAAAGTTACTCCATTTTGACTTTTTATCCTTTCAGACAATATATAACTGAATGGATCTGGTGTATTACAACAAACCTTTATTTGTAAAAATGTATGCTGAGCCAGACTTGCTCTAGTTCACCTCTTCTATAAAGCCTTAAACAAAAGGGAGAAAAGAAGAAGAAGAAGAAAATTTAGCTAACAGCAATTTTCACACACCTGACGTGGGTTCAGTTCATATTTACAATACCTCCTTCCTTTTGGTGTCTGGATTCTCATACTCTTCTTCCTTCCTCTTATCTGTCCTTTCTGGCTTCCTCATTAATTCTGGTTAGTTCTTTGTTCCATTTTTTCTGGGCTTTGCCAGGTAACATCCTGGTTCATTTGATAAAAACATTTTCAGAGAGGTATTGTGGGGGTAGATATTCTTCCTCACTCATCATAAGGGTCACAACTGATATACTGTGACAAAAGGACAGGTAAGAGAAAATAATAAAAAATTTACTTAATCAAAGGTTTACATGACCCAAGAGGCTGCAGAAATGAAGACCCAACGATCCAGGGAAAACTGTCTATTTTCATGTTTAAGCTTGATGAAGAATGGACAGCATGTACAAGTGTGATGGGGCAGAAGGATATGATCTAATGGTAACAGACTTGTAATAGGTTGGCTTTTTTTTGAGTTGGAATCCCACTCTGTCACCCAGACTGGAGTGCAGTGGCATGCTCCCTGGCCACCGCAGCCACGACCTGCTGGATTCCAGCAATCCTTCCACCTCAGCCTTCCAAGTAGCTGGAACTACAGGCGCACGCTACCAAGCCCGGCTAATTTTTTGATTTATTGTAGAGATGGGGGCTCGCCAAGTTGCCCAGGCGGGTCTCGAACCCACGGGCTCAGGCAATCCATTCAACTCAGCCTCTCAAAGCACAGAATTACAGGCTGAACCACTGAGCCCGGCTAGGCAGGCTTTCTTAAAAAAGCAAAGAGAAAATGAGAGCACTGAGTATTGCATGCCAGAGAGGGTAGGATTTCAAAATGCTCAGTTTCACTTGGTTATATGCTTACCAACACAGTCAGCATAGAGGGTTGGGTTCAGATAAACAAGTGCTAATCTAAATTTTGTCAGCAAAATATGAAAAAAAATACCTCTTCTGTCTAGCTTTTATTTTGTGAATGAGAAAGAAGAATCCACTATATAACATTGCCTGTTCCTCCTCCCTATTCTATTGGTTGTTGTTGTTGCTGTCGTTGTTGTTGTTTGTTTTGAGTTGGAGTCTCACTGTTGCCCAGACTGGAGTGCAGTGGCCGCTCCCGGTCACCTCAGCCTCGACTTGCTGGGCTCCGGCGATCCTTCCGCCTCAGCCTTCCAAGTAGCTGGAACTACAGGTGCGTGCTATCACGCTCAGCTAATTTTGTTTGTTTGCTGTATTGTAGAGATGAGGTCTCACCCGCCCAAGCAGGTTTCGAACCCGTGGGCTCAGGCAATCCACCCACCTCAGCCTCCCAAAGGCGTGGGATTACAGGCTGAGCCACTGAGCCCAGCTTCCCTATTCTGTTTAACTTGTCCTTAACTAAGTTAACCCAAAGCTCATATTCAGTTGGCTCTGGTAATATTTTTGGAGATACAAGGAAAAGATCTAAGACAACACACACATGCATACTCTTTACTACGACTGCCCTTTATAAATCTACATGGCTTTTTCCCCAAGTGTGATTTTGAAAAGTTTCAGTTTTCTATAGTGATAAAAAGAAGACTACTTTCGTTAGGAAATATTAAAATGAATACAAGTATAAGGATAAAAACAAAAGCATCCAGAAAAACCATCACAAGTAACACCATGCTGTTTATTCTTCTAGATATTAGATATCTATTAAATAGGCAGGCAGGCAGATAGACAGCAGATAAGTAGGTAGATTAGATAGATAGTTGATAGATAGATGATGGATAGAGGATGGATAGATAGATAGATGATAGATCATAATAGGTAAATAGATAACAGATAGATGATAGAGGAATAGATTAAATAGATGAATAAATAGATTATAGCTAGATAATAGATGACAGAGAATATAGATTGATAAATGACAGATAGATAAAAGATAGATACATGATAGATTTATAGATAATAGATAAATAAGAGAAATAAGAGATAGGTAACAGATAATAGATAAATGATAGATTGATAATGATAATGATGATAGATAATAGATGGCAGATAAAACGATAAAGGACAGATGATAAATCATATAGGTAAACAGATGACAGATAGAGGGTAGATACAAAAATAATACATAGATAATAGATACATGATAGATGAATCGATAAGTGGATAAATAAGTGATAGGTGAAT